ATCAATTGTGATTTAAAGAAGTGAAATTTGAGATACTTTAATTTATTCCACACTCTGACTTTATAACTCATATATAACCTTAAACTCTGTCCCACTCTAACAAACACTCTAGAAGATGCTAATTTTTCGGTCAGAAGATAGAGCCTTCTAAATTTGTCTCTCATTACTTCATCTTTTCCTACAAAATCTTCTCTTAAAGTTTAGCTATCCTAAGTAGAGAGTGCAATTACCATCTAGCTATCAAATTTCTTATTAACCCCTGGTGATTATAAATAAATATGTGAAGTTTTCCTGAGGCAGGGGGTAGAAGGGTATAGAGAGGAAAAAAAAAAAGAAAAAAGACACCAGTGGACAAAAAGAACAAGATACTCCAGAAAGCTTGAATCTCAGTGTCACCAGGATTTCAAAGAATGCTTCACCACGGGTCATTTTACCTGAAGTAGTGAAAATAAAAATCAGCCAGTTTTCTAAATCAAGAGCTAATCAACTTAGGTGCTCCTTTCACACAGCTCAAAGTAAGCTTTATGTTGAGTTGAAGGCTGGAAGAGAGAACCAGAGATCATTTTCTTTCTGAAAGCTGTTCACTTTTCTGCCTTGCATAAACTAGACTGAGCAGAGAGAGTTCTTTGCACTGGATGGTTCAAGATGTGGGCTTGAGCTCCAAGCACTTGCCTAATAAATGTCCATGCAACCACCCAGCCCTCTTACTGTTAAACCTTCCAGTAAGAACCTTGAAATGTGAAAAGTGCCTGTCTCCTTGAAAAACCATTAGGCAATTACATTGCAAAGTCATGAAAAAGTACGGCCTCTAAAACTTATGAAGAAATCAGACACCTGCAAGTACAATGTAGTCTTAAAAGCAGAATGACAGGCTTACAAGGTCAATGGTTTTCCTTTTGACAGATGTTATCCGGGCAGGATTCTGGCTCCTAGAGAGTGCAGAAAGAGGAGAAAGACTAAAAGAAACAAAAAAAATGGCAATGGGAAGCAAAGATCAACCAAGTGAAAAACAATTTTAAATAAAATATAGAAGAATTGCAAGGGATAGGAAACATAGGGTGGCAAAATTTAGTTATCCCTTTAAAGAGGAATCTAATGTTACTCTGCCTCTGGGGTTTGCCTGCACCACTACGCACCCCATGGAACTCTCGGATTGCCCTCACTTTTCCTTCACTCTGAATATGCTGGTTAAAAATACACTTTTGATACAAAGCTAATGGAGAAAATGGCAATTTATTCTGCATGTTAAGACCACTTGTACTGTTCTCCACCAGGAGAAAACACAGCATACAGCAAGGACAAAACCTATTTAATACTTGTACATAAACTATTGGAGTCTTCAAGACACTGAAATGATGAAATAAGAACAAATTCTGGAAACCAGTTATTATTCCCATATGGTTACTGAGCAATTTATTACTGCAGATAGACATATGATACTGTCTGCCACAGCTGAGTCTCACTTCTATTACCACTTCACATATCATTCCCTTCATTGACCCTTACATCCTATGTAAGAGTTTCAGCTCTAGAAAACCTAATTAATTTACTATGCATAAAATACCCCACAGACTCCCCTGATGTTCTAGTCATACAATTCCATTCCTATTGGGCTGATACTTCAAGAAACTGGCAATAGTCAACACAAGCATGTGTCAAGACTTGAGGAGGACCAAACTTACTGCACCAAAGAGAAAGTCTAAGCAAGGAATGGAGGCAGAATTAGGACAGAGGTTTTTGGAGCAAAAATTAGTGGTCATCTCTCAGACAGATTCCAGAGCAGACCAAGTTAATTGGTCAGATGGAGCAGCTCTGCTGTGAGGAAAGATTGAGAAAATTGGGACTGTTCATCCTGGAGAAGAGAAGGCCTTGGTGTGACCTAATTTTGGCCTTTTAGTACCTGAAGGGAGTCTACAGCAAAAATGGCGAGAGACTATTTACTACAGCCTGGAGTAACAGGACAAGGGGGAATGGCTTCAAACTCACAGAGAGTAGGTTTAGATCAGAGATTAGGAAGCAATTCCTTGCTGTGAGGATGGTGAGGCCCTAGCACAGGCTGTCCAGAGAAGTTCTGGCTGCCCCATCCCTGGAAGAGTTCAGGGCCAGGTTGGATGGAGCTCTGAACAACCTGGGATAGTGAGAGGCATCCCCTACCCATGGGTTGGAACTAAATTATCCTAATGTTCCCTTCCAATCCAGGCCATTCTATGGTTTTATTAAATTATGATAGGAAGTGCCACACTGCAAAAAGTGTAAGATCTCCAGCAGTGAATAAATATTCTGGGAACAAGGCTTGTATATGATTATCAATGTTAATCTAGTCCAGGAGTGTGGGCATATCTATCTTTTCTACCTATGAAGTTTTCCTTATTTTCTTTCCTACATTTCTCTACCCTTGACTAATTTCTGATTCAGCAGGTCATTCTGTACCACTGAACATTTAAAATTTCTTTCAGAATCAGAAACCAAATTCTAATATTGTATATATCTATATCTGTTTATACACACACACACACACACATCATTCACACAGAGGTAGAGGATGTAACCCTGGCAGAATTGCTTCCAACTGTTAGGATACAACACTCTTTTCCCCACCAGATGGCAGTAACTTCAACTTTATATAACCCGGACTGGTCACCACATGCACAGCTAACAATGGCATACTTTATGTTTGGGATTTTCCATAAGAAGGAATGCTGATTTTTTTTTAACATGCACAGTAGAGTTATTCCAGTTTCCTCCTATTTCATGGCAAAGTGTTATACTAATAGCTAAGCTCAACTTTGATCAGTATATCCTACAAGAATTTTTTTTACACATATAATTCCATATTTTTTTTCAGTATGATGTAATTTTGTCAAATTGGAGAAGTACAAGTATTATTTCCAATCGTTGTCTTGTTCCAAGAAAAATTCCCAGACAGAAATATCTGGGTAACTTTCAAATGCATAATAAACAAACTTTTACAATATATACTAATGAATAAAAAGACTAAAGGATACCAAAGAAGGAGGGGAAATGATAAATACCTTTTGCATATTTTTTTTACAAAATAATTCAGTGTACAGATTTCTTGACTTATAAAAGCTCAGGGTAAAATCTACACCAAAAATATTGCAGCCAGTACATACTATGTTACACACCACCAAAACTCTCTTTAATATGGGATCTGACAATTTTTTCTACTGGCAAAACCAGGAAAGTTTTTGTCAACATAGTCCAGACACCATAAAATAATGTAATTTGGTGGACAGGGACTATTCTGTAGGATATCCAGTTCTAGAAGCAACTCATCCATTTGTTCTTCTGTAACCAAAAGATCATTGTTCCCTTTTTATTTCTTTAACTTCTAATTTTTCAGAAGAAAAAGTCCTATATTATAAAAAGAGAACTTCCCTCCTATTTGACTAATATTAGTATTCAGACTGATTAACTGGGTTTATATTAAGCTCTATTCCGACTGCAAAGATAATATCAAAAGTGCACAGTCTTATTAATAAAACACACTCATTCTCCAATAAATTTATGACCAAATATGCAGTCTGTTTGGACAGCTGGCTTCCACCATCCTACAAGCAGGGATTCAGATCCTATTTTTTTCTCCCCATGTTTGTTGGTTTGGTTTTTTTTTCAACAGAAAGTAGAGCAAAACTTTCTCTGGATATAAAAAAAAAAAAAAGTAAGTACAGTAATGGAAAGAAAAGACCATAAAAATAATGCAAAAAGTGATATGACTACATTCTACTAAATAAATATTAAGCAGCCAATTATATTTGTCTTTCATACTCACAGGCAATATTCCTGAATATTTAAATTTTAATACCAAAATGCAACTCCCATTTACATGGATGCGTACTGGATAAGCAGTATACCGAATCAGTGACATTTGAACTGAAGATGTTTTCAAGATATATTTTAGTTCAAAAGACCTATTCATAAACTTTTCATACAGCTTGATATCCTTCTGAGATTGCATATCCACATCAGCTGGAAGGATGAGCAGAATCCACCATAAAAATAAGTCATTCTTACATAATTTCCTCTTCCTGAAGGAAGAGGAAAAGTAAAGATATCAAGTAATGTTTAGTATGAACCTAACCAAAATGATTTGAAGTGGAAAACGCAAATCTTTGTGAGAAACCACAAACACAAAATCCAACCTTGGCTTGGAAGGAAAAACTGAATGACTCATTGTTGAAGGGGACAGATTAAACACAGAATAAATACAGAGTAAACACAGAGTAAATGCAGGCATTTAATATTTAAAATAAAGTGCCAGCATAAAAAGTTTAGAACAGCCCTGTGATGTTCAAAGGGATGGTGAAATAGAAGTGGTGGACAACTGTTTTTTCCTCCAACTGCAGGATCAGTAACAATCCCACAGTTACATTTAGAGAATTCTGTGCATTTTGAAAAGGATATGGGAAAATAGAGGTGGAGGAAGAGACACAAAACTGAATATGGGAGAACACATGTTACAGTGAAAGTCTTAAGAGATCTCAGATTTATTTTAGCTGACTTGAACAAATATGTAGCAGTCATTACAGGAAAACAAATACCTCCTGTAAGTGCCAGCAGAAAACAATGGAACAATGGCTCAAAGCTGAAGCTGGTCAAATTTAAATTGGGTAAAAGATTATGATTCTTCATTTAATGAAATAGTTACTTTTGCTATGAAGATAAATAGTGGATTAAATCGAAATAGTTTCCTGCTTCAAAGAAAAAATGCAGGGGAAGTAACAGCACAAAATGTAAAAACTTGTAAGTTTACACTACACAATCCAATGGCCCATTCTGGTTTGAAACCCAGCCCTATGCTATGAGGAGAGGCATCATGTCTGAGCTCCTCAGAAGCCATTTGAAATGCAGAGGGAGCATCCTCTCACTGTCCTGGGAAAGCCATCATGGGATGGAGAGCAGCTGCACTGCCCTCAGCTTCATGTGCTAGGGTCATGGTGACCTGGACAAGAACTTTGGGGAGTGGTCTCAGGGCTTACCTGCAGCTTGTGGAGCAGCAAACACAGTCCTGCTGTGAGATGGAATGGCAGCTGTGCATCTGGAACGGCAGAGACACAGCACATGAGAACAGGGATACAGGACTCCTGCAATAAACTACCTGAGTTTCACCTGGTATTTCAAAAGGAAGCCTGTATCAAAGAAAGACACAGCATTATGTCCCATAACTACACAATATAAAGACAAAAAAGAGGAAGTTTTTTTTTTTCTATAAGACTTGATGAATTTTTACATATTAACAAATTTAAGGGAATTGTCATATGCCAGTAGCTGAAACAACAAAGTAACACGGTAAACCATCTTCTGTCTTGCAGGCCCCATAACCTTTCAGCACATCAGACTGGGGGCACGCTTTTGCTGGATGCACATTTAGTTGTGTGCTGAGCTTTGCATGCAAATAAATTCACAATTTTATTGCTTTTATATAGTAACCAACTCAATTTCTTAAACCGAATTTAGTACCTGAAAATTCTTAAATTGTCTTTGTAGATTGTTAGAGAACATAAAGAATGAATTCATGCACAAAACTTATATTTTTTCTCATCTTCACAGCAAACACAAGGTTGTGTTTAGGAGAATATATGAGGAAAGTTTCAATCTACAATCACGTGTCTAGTACAATAAATACAATACTAAGAGAAAACACGTGTAGCAGAACCACTATGCTGGCAAAATATATTTAGCCTACACAGTAAGAAATCCTCTAAACTGTTTGTAATCAACAGATCATATTTAGTGCCTTCCTTTCATTAACATGGAGTTTTTCAAGAAGTGGGATGAGTTAGAAAATTGTTGTTACCCTCAGAGAAAGCACAGGATTTTTAAACGAGGAGCCTTTCAGTTTCTGAGAGCTCAATTAGTATTAATTACAAGTTTAAAGAAGCACCACAACATATTCACATTGATAGTATAGGCATATCTACAGCATAATTACTGTCACTTCAATAAGTGCAGTCATGCATTACACATGCCCTTCTAGGATCAAAGTGGTGGCATATCCAGTCCAAGCTCCTGCTATCAGAGGCAGGACTATGTTTCACATTCCCTTTCATAAATGTATCATTTTCCACCTTGCAAACAGTTAGACGTGTGTGGAAAAACAAAACCTGACTGCTTTATTGAGAGTCTCCTCCAGAACACTAATGCTTTTATGGCTAGAAATATTCTAACTTCCAGTCTGATTTTCTGCCAATTATTTCTGTCCCAGCATTGTTCCTCAGATTTGATTGCTTTCCTTCACTCACAATTGTCCTGTTCCCACTGTTTTCTCTTGGCCTTTATTTTATTGAAGAGAAATAAACCTGTTAGTATGCTCACAATAACCTTTCCCTTCCCACTGTTTGTTTTAGTCCCATTTCTTTCTCTGTTTGCTACACCTAAGTTCATGCTTCCTACACCTGGGCACTCCAAATGCTTGGCAGCATTCCTGGGGAGGTTGCTGTGGTGCCTCACGTGGAAGCATTACTAATTTTATTTCACTATCTGAAAGGTCCAACTTGATACTATTTAAAATTGCATAAACCTTGCTCACAGACTTATCAGATCACTGGAGTTGCAGTTATTTTGGATGAAATTGCTCTTACCTAGTTTTAAGCAGCATCTCTGAGCTAGTCACTGCAGGTCCTTTAGAATCAGAGAGACACTTCACAGCATGATTCATCTGATCTATTTTTAGAGAATCTGACTCGATGAAATCTGTTCTGCCCTAGAAATACTCTTCACTGGCCATGCCTAAACAAATACCTCAGTTGGAGAGAGCTCGACTGAATCAACTGAAGAGCTTATTTCGTGGTTTATTAATATAGTCAGCTCCTTCATTTCCTTAAAAAAATCTTGAGATAGCAGATAATAGCAGAAGCAATCATAACCATGTACATAACTAAGTTTTCAGACTTCATCCTGTTTCCATTCCCCACAGTCTCTCAGTTGTGAAGTTTTCTCTGGATTATTCACTGATGGTACTTTTGAATTGCATATTGAAAATGGCTCTTCTAGCACAATTTAAAAATCCACAAGAACTAGAGACAGCAAAATTTTCCCTCAGAAATCAAGTGCTTATGTAATGATTTTACAGAATTATGGTTTGACAACTGATATTCTAGACTAACACATGAGAAAGAGGAAGGTATTTTAAAATATGCTGAATTTTGATCGGTCATAAATGAAAGGATGTAGACTTGGGTAAGTTGGCAGGATGCTCTTTGCCACCTCTACCAAACCTCGCTAACTACCCCTGCTAAGCAAAAAGCTTGAAATAGTTTAATAGCAAAAGATAAACTTTATAATTAAAAAACCAAACCAAAACAAAACACCCAAGAAAAAAAATATATTTCTATTGTCTTCTCCAATGGAATGATTACAGAATTTTTCTGCACAAAGACCAGATTAAAATCAGAAGGAATTTGATACTTTCCCTCAACTCCAGAGGCAAATCAAGGTAGTTACTGTACTATATGATCTCACAGTGGATTATTATTTAAAAATTTTCTAGTGTTGAATCTTAAGAATTTACCTGAAATCCTCCAAATTTAAGTTATAAAAGAGAAAATATTGTAAACATTATACCAGTTTTCCTTTGCTTTGTGAAGTAAGTAGTAGTACAGATAGATAGATAAAGGGGTTTTGCAGCAAATAACAGGCTGGACTGAATATCTCAGGAGTTTGACTTGGCCAATACAAAGTCATGAAGGTTTTTTTTCACATCTCACCAATCCTACTTACACAGAAGCATTTGAACAATCTTTCACATGACACAAGTGCTAGGACAAAATTCTTTATGAGAGGGGATAACTAAGGAAATTTTAATGAAAATCACTGTCAGTCAAATTATGGAATATTTGGAAGATGGCTAAACACAAGTACGAGCAATTCAAAGTTGAGTTATTCACCAAGGCAGAAGTTATTATTTCTACTTGTTGTCCTTGGTACTCAGAAACCAAAAATCAGAACTCTCAGAAGAGTAAACACTGAACTTCACCCCTTGAATCACAATACCAAAATTATTAAATTCCAGATTGTTCAGGCTCATGGACAAATTCCTGGACAGGATGTCCATAAAGAGATACTGAGGGTATGGGTAGGATGTCCCCTCTAGCATCACACATACAAAAATGATGGATGCCAAAGGACTCTGAGGGAAATGGATTACTATTCAGACCCAAAATCCCAGTCACAGAAGGTTCAAGGGATGTCATTTCACATAAATATGAAAGATTTTTTTCAGAATGTATTTTCTGATACTTTTTAATGCCAGAGTATCAACCATCATGCCTCTCATAAACTAAAAAACATCAGATTTTTCATTCTTTATGAAAATTCTACTTTTTTAGGCCAGAACTATCATAAACATATCATTGACAGTGGCATAATTAAGCATGTATGCTGATCTTTTTGAAGCTTCTCTTTTCTGAAATGACTGGTATTGTTTTGCAGCCTACTATGTATTCTTTCACATAAAACTTTGGATGCTTGCTCTAGTTTACAAAGTACCCTACTTGCAAGCATAAACAGGATTTCTTCACAAGTAATTCTTGGCAGTAATTTATAACTTCCAGAGCTAGTCAATATATACAAATACAAGGCAAATTTTCATTCCTGACTCTGGAATAGGATACAATTATTCTACCAAAGGCTTATCTTTGGTATATAATAAAAAATAGTCAATTTTTCTTCTTGAAAACTTCCTCTTTCACAATTAACTCTTTAGTTAAGGAAGGGAAAAATCAAATATGAAAAAAACTGTAAAAGGAAGAGGCAAATGCTGAGGAAAAAGACATTTTAAATAAGAAGAATCGTTGTGATGATCTACTGAAAATATTAGAAAGGCAAAACCAGCCATGTTTTCCACTTGTTCTCTATTGTTTTCTACTTGACGATAATGCATCTTCTTGCAGATCAGAAAGCAAACCATATTCTGGGCTGCATCAAAAGTAGCATGGAGAGCAGATGCCTCTTGCACTGTACTCCACTCTCATGAGACCCGACCTGGAGTTTTGTGTCCTGCTCAGGGGCTCCCAGACTTGGATTTGTTGCAGAGAGGCCAGAGGAGGCCACAAAAATGATCAGAGGGCTGGAGCAACTCTCCTCTGAAGAGATGAGAGAGTTCAGACCAGGAGGAGAGAAGGCTTGGGGGAAACCTTACTGGGACCCTTCGATACTTGAGGAGATTTAGAAAGCTGGAAGTGACTTTTTACAAGCCCTTGCAGCAATAAGACAGAGGGAATTAATTTAAGCTGAAAGGGAACACATATAGGTTAGATACTAGGAATAAATTCTTCCCTCTGAGGGTGGTGAGGCACTGCCATGTGTTTCCAGAAGTTGTGGATGCCCCATGCCTGACAATGTCCAAGGGCAGGTCGGATGGGACATTGAGCAACTCAGTCTAGTGGAAGGGGTCCCTGCTAGTGACAGGGAGGTTGGAACAAGATCATCATGATGCTAAGATGAGATCAGTTGGTCAGGGCATGGCGTTAATGCTGTGAGTTTCATCCCTGTATGGACCATTCAGTTTAGGGGTGGACTTGGTGATCCTTGTGGGTCCTATCCAGCCCAGAATAATCTATAAATTTGTGATCTTTCTTGTCCCCTCCAACCAAAACTATTCCATGAGCTATGGCTGTTTGGCAGGGCTAGCTCTTTGCAATAAATATTTTTGCCCTGAGACTGTATCACCTGTGATTCTGATCTTAACTTAGCCAGATTCTACACAAGAACAAAGCTGTTATTACTGTTGTTCTGCATGTCTCTGTTAAAAAGCTATGACAAATACCAGGTTATTTTGGACTAACATTATTTCTGTAATGTTAAAGATTCCCTTTCTGTGAACAGCATATAAACATTAAAATGACTTCTACTTATCAATAACAGAGGCTCAGAAAATGACAGCCCTGAAAAGAACCTCATACACTTGAGATGCTTCTGAAGTCAGACTAAATTCTATTTCAAAACATCAGAGAACTATGACACTGAGTGAGAAAATGTGACTTTCTGATAATTTGAGAGTTCTTCTTGCACCTGTTATTTATATTCAATGCATTTGGAAGGCACAACTTAAACAGACTTTCTAAGGCTTTTTATGGTGGGGATTACAGACCAAGAAGAGTACTCAAGAGACAGAGAGACTTAATTTGTTTTCTATCTTAAATCAAAGTGGATGCAGTCAGTCATTCCCAAGTTCATAACAAAGCAAACCCATGTACAGTACCAAAAGCAAATAATTTTTGCTGACTTCACTGATCTATCAGGGCTCTTGGTTTTAAGGAGGAAAATCTAGAGGCTTTCATGTGCTACCAAAATTCAAACACCACATTTTTAAGCTTTGATGATTCTTTGTTCCACAGGGTTCTCCAAGTCCTTGGTCTTAGCAAGTCCACAGTCAGGTTTGAATATTCTGTGTCATTGAGGTAATGTGGAAAAGGATTATCTGGAGAATAAGATCAAAGGATTTTTGGTGGGGATTAACCTGGCAGCACTTTTAGAAACATTGTTTTATAAAGGAGCTTTTTCCTTAAATTTCAGTCAACTGTAATCCATCTTGTATCACCAGACTAAAACCTGGGGTTTCATCTAGTTTTTGCTGCTTTTTTAAATCCAGTAGATTATTAAGATGTGCAACAGATAAACTACTGTTCTGGAAATGATGATTTACAGCATTGTTGCATATCATAAAACTACAGTGTCAAAATTGCTTAAAGCCAGAGTGCAAATTGCTTAAAGATGATCCCAAACTGCAGAATTCTCTCCACTGAGCAAGAAGATCATGGTCTCTTTTTCCTCATTTGGCATGCTACGACAGAGCTGACACTTTTTTTTTTTTTTTTAATTCAAGTGAGCAATTCAGTCTAAAACTCCTGTAAAACAAACTGGTGATGCAGCAAACCTTGCCTAGAGCAAACCATGAAAAATCTTTGTCTACCTCTCTCGTGCAGGAAAAAAAAAATTGTTCTGAAGATAATAGAGGTGTGAATTGCACTGTTTATAAAAGAAATTGTGATTGATAATCCTTTCTATGTAAACCACAAAACCACAGAACTTCCCAACATCCAGGAGGCATCTTCTGTGTTAAAAAACCCCAACCAACAAATCTGTCTTCTCTGTTTTTTATCTTGGTTCAGACAAGCTGAATTGCTCAATGGAGGTTACAAATTCTTGAGGCACTTTAAGGTATTTAAGAAGAGGAATAAGGTGTTTAGATTATTTATTCCTGCATTTAAATGAATGGCCCAACAGGGAAAAGAGAAATCTCTGGCTCTTTGTCACCACTTGCTGAAGTGGAAAGTAAAAGGCCTCAGACTGGCAGCCTGAACTTCAGCTTCAATGAACCAGGTGCAAAGTTGGCACATGGCTCAAGCAACTGCCCAAAGATTTTTCAGGATGTGTCAACAACACTAGAAGGACAGGACCATTTGTGTTCTGGGGCAAGACATCAACACGTGGTAAAAACCACCCTACAACACCACCAATAAAACTTAATGGTTTCACAATCATGTTTTCATTGCTCATGGAGATGCAACTTTTTCCTTCAACATTAAGCCTTACACATCTTTCATTGCAGTGCTCTATCCTCAGCTCCTTATAGGAGAAGACTAATTTTTCCAAAAATAGGCATGAATATAATTAAGATCAGATCCTCCCCTTGGTAAACTGTGCAGACTACTGTGATGCTAGAAATTATGTTCTTATCAATTTACATTAAAATGGACAAAAAGAAAGCCTTCCACTTGAAAAAAAAATCCTTCTAATACCAAATCTCTTTCCTTAAAAACAAAAACCAACATTAAAACTGAATGTTTTATTAGCATGAGAATAATTTCAAGCAGTGTTTGAATACCAAATACAACAGCACTACCTTTTGTACTGTTTCTGCCATACATATGGCAGATTATTTAATCTTTTAATTTATCATTGCAAGGTATAAAAATTGAAAGAAGTTCACATAGACGAAATAAACTTGAAGACATAACATTTCCCCACAGTGTATGAATTTGTAAAACACAGTGAGGATATGAAAATGCTTGCCATAATTAACATGCCTCTGTCGTTCAGCAGGAATATCAAAATGTTTTATTACATCCAACAACCTACAAAAAAGACTAGCAAATAGATTCTTCTCTTAAACTAATGGGAGTAGTTAATGGACATTTTGGGGAAAAGGTACTGCTCACAATCATGCCAAAGTCTAGCTGAAAACTGAATTCATATGCAGGGTGTAAATTATCCAGAATTAATCCAGTTGATCCAGATCATGACCATTGTAAGATAATGGGCTTTAAGATTTTAAGAGAATGACATCCCTAATTTTTACTGTTAATATTTAATTGTTTATATTGTATATTTATATTTTCCTATGCATGTTTATATTTTCCTATGCAGTTTTTAAAGTTTTTTGGTTGGACAATTTTGGCCCATAAATGTGCAGGGTAGGCCAAAAACTTTTTAAAAATAACTCCTGTTTTATATGAGGACAACTTACAGCTAGTTCACATACATCCTTTACTTTCAAATACACAGTCCTCAGTCTGAAGTTAAACCATCTTAAAGACCAACAGAAGTTCAGAATACACCCTGAGAAAATACTGCCCTTGATACACTCATAAATATTAATTACATTTATAGGACAGCAATACAAATTCAACCAAGTACCACAGGTCCCTACAGTTATTAAAGAGAGGGGGGAAAATACAGATAGAAATGATGTGAGTAATTATTAGTGTTTCAGAAACTTTAAACTCTGTTCCACAGTTTGTCAAATATTTCCCTCCCAATGTTCCCCCCATCCCCCAATTTTAACAAGAATAGTTGGAATAAAATTAATCTCATATGATAATAAGAAGACAAATGCTATAGCTTGTAATCATCATATAGTATGTAACAGAAGGCACTAAAGCAAACACTTTAACAGTAAAATTCTAACAAAATAATAAGCCATCAAAATTCACAAACAACCACAAACATTTAAAATGTCACAGAACAGATGTAATAATAAACGCAATTCAAAAACCAGGCACACCTATGCCAAGGCAAATACACTGCACATTTTAATTTTTTAGGAGAAAATGTAGCACGTAGCAGCTAAAGGAATGACAAAGCAAAAAGAAACAAAGTACAAATATAACGATTCTCAAAGGTTAATGGTTACACCACAGGCTTATAGTCACTGATCACATTTTTACTACCTATGCCTGCAGATAATTCTCTTTTCTTTTCCACCTGAAGACGGCCGGACTATTATATGTTGATTTTGTGTGCATTTTTAGTTGTCTTTTCTAGAAGTGCAAATCTTGAAAATTAGCATTGTAGAACCAAAAAATGAAGAAAAAGAACTAGCAAAATATTGGAACAAAAAAGTTATTGTAGAAACAGAAATGCATTACTTTCATACTCTGACAAACTAATAATAATATGCACTTGGAAAGAAAAGTAAAATCTTATTTTAAATGGCATTTGCTAAAGCTACATTAACAAAAGGATTTGTGGCCCTGTCACGAAAAAAACATTGACCCTTGACCTTTTTTCAGTTTAGAGAAGGAGAATAGCCAGAATCTTGTGTATCAAACAAATGTTTGTTTTGTATAAACCTTCTCCCAATTTTCTTAGTTTGCTGCAAAAGCCGAGAGAGAGGAAAAAAAAAAAGGACAATGAAAAAAGAAAAGAAGAAGAAACTGACCCGGACTAAAGGCTCGCTTCAGAAACAGTGCAAGGCTGCTTCTAAACAGTCATGTGACTTTTTTTTTGCTAACAGCCATGTGCTCGCGTATCATTTTACTCTGAAATAACTCTGCGGATTTCAGCTCAACCTGCCTTTGCTTATAATGCATGACATAGCCTGTGAGGGAGCCTGAGAACTGTCCCTCTTCAAAAGCAAGGTTCCCATGCTTGGCCTGTAACCATGGAAGCAGATGCCTTTTTTTGCTTACCCCTGCTTACCTCTTTGCAGCCACGAGCTGCTCCCTATTGTTAAAAGGGGTACGCCTTGATTTTTCTTCGTCGTGACTGAACTTGCCTCTTCTTCAAAGGGCACGATGCTGCAGGTCATTGGTCTAGACTGTTTGCACGGTCCAGAGAACAGCCTTGATGTAACCCTTGCTCCGTCTGTGCCACACCACCAGCCGTGCGACTGCAGACTGTAGGGGGACATCGGAGATCTGTATTTGAAAAGAAGTCCGTCCGATTTTGCCATTGTGCCTTTTCAGTCATCGATCGAATGAATATCGAACCTTCTGTCGTTGCATGTGTGAAATAGATAGCTTAGCAAGCACTTTTGTGCCCAAACCTGTGCAGTGGGCCAAACTCTTCCTTTATTCACAAGTATTATTGGTTTTTTGTAGTGTAGTAATTTCTTAGAAACTTTAATAACAGTGTTTTAATGTTAGACCAGTCTCACAGCAGAATCTCTTTGTTTTAACCTGCTTGATTTAGCACTTAATTTTTTTTTTTAAAGGTGCTTTCTTTTTTAATAATTTCCAGTTGAACATCAGCCCTCTTAAAGTGCAAGGGAGGCTGTTTTGGAATCAGTATGAACAGCCCAGAATTGTGAGGGGTTTCAAAACAAGATACCAACTGGAGGTTTGCTGCCATAAGGCTTTAAAATTAACACAGGAGAAAAACAAACGTGAACTTGGAAAACTTCCAAAATTAATTCAAAAAGTAAAAAAAAAAAATTAAAAATTGCCTTTTTTGCTTGTTTGTTAGATATAATAAAGCAGATAGTCTTAAATAAAAGACAGATATTCTAATAGATAAAATAACTCTGACAGTGGTGACTAGAACCTTAAAAGAGTTTTTATTCTTTTTTTCCACCTGATAAAGAAAAATAATTTGGAAACTTAACATCTGATAAGGATGGGTTTTTGCTCTTCTGTACCAGTGCAAAAACATTTTTGATACTCACTGGTCAACTTTTTTTTTTAATATTTATTTTATTTTAAAGAGGAAACAGTTAATGTCCACTGCAAGAAATTATTAAAATCATGCTAAACCACTGAGAAAGTGTAGCTGAAATATTCAGCCAAAGAGTTCATCAGAATTCCAGGAATTTCAGGGAGGAGTGAAGAAAAAGATTTTCTAACACCTTCGAATTAAAAAAAAAACCCCAAACAGAATTGTAGCTAACACGGAAAATTATATCAGTCGGTAAGCAAGTTTTTACTCTTCTTTTAATGGAATGGAAAAATCTCTGATCACTGCTTGTAAAAAGAACCAAAAATCTAATGAAAGCCATCGGCACGGACTCGTACAATATGCCAGCCTCTACTCTGTTCTAACAAAATTTGGATTGCATCAAAAAGAGCTTAAATATTCTTCAGGGTGCTGCTAACCCAGAGCTGTCTGTATATGACATCAGTATATATATTTTTGAGATACCACTGTCTCATACTTCAAGGCATACCTATTTTCTCTAATTGCCGCAGGCAAAGGGGAGGTGCACTAAAGAATAAAGAAGGTTATTGTGACAGATGAAACATAATTCACAATGAGTACTCTTTTCATCCAGCCTTAAGTAGCAGAGGATTACTCCAAGCTGAATTTTAGGGGAGTATGTATGATCTAATAATATGAGGACAGGCCACTATCTGAGAGGCAATATAAACCAATTATGTTTTTGCTGATTGTTTGTGGGGTTTTGTTGTTGGGGTTCATCCCCCCCACACACACACCCTTTCTCTTTTCTGGAAATAGAAGAAATATTAACGTGAAGAGGGTCTGAAGAAACATGGGGAAAAGTAAGAAATGCCGAGAAATAAAAGTTGGGATTTTCTGGAATGGATATTGACAAATGCTTATTCTATATTTCTGCTTCATGACACTTTAATGAAATAAGATCATGCCTTTTCTTCAGTAATTATGTGCTGTGAAAGTAGGTAAACTAATTTTGATACACTTATTGAACTTGTCTTGCTTCCGAGAAATTCATACTTGAGTCTTCTAAAAATGCTGTGTAATGTCAAGTTTAGATGTAGATAACTGTGATAGTAAAATAACTTTCTGCTAAGTATGTGTACATTGCATTTCTGAGTCACTGTTTTAATATTTAAACAGTAAATGGGTTAGCTTGCATGACTATTTTATATTTGTTTCCTTATAGCATACTTTTGAAAATAAGTGCTTAGCACAAATTACTGTATTGCATTTTGAAAGGCTTAATCTTTTTCTAGTTTCAGCTTTCATAAAACAACTCTTTTTGTACGATCTAAAATTGCACTCAATGTCTGGACCTTTTAGCTAGTTAAACTGCAGAAACTGCTAAGGCTTAACTTTTTGGCAGAAAAGAAATAGAAAACAGCCCATTTTGTCTATAGAAATGTTAATTTAGATTAATTACTTTTTTAAGTAATAGCTAACTTTAAAAAATCCATTTTAATGTAATTTTATTGAAGTATTCATTGATCTTCTCAAAAACATTTCTATAAATTATGTGTAATTTAGTATATAAAATAAAACAATTTTTAGATATGGATTCTAAATGTGTTCTTTGACTGTTCATCTTTTTATAAAAATCCCAGACAAAAAACCTCAAACAACTCTGAGTCAAATGTTTATTTTCATATGTTTGGATTTTTAAAATTACACAAACTCTTCTTAGAAGCAGAGCTAATAAAACTGTGCTTCTAATTGAAAAATTAATTATTACTAGGAGTTAGTTTATATCTTTGAGATTTTGGACTGAAATACAAAATAAATATTAATTGGAACAGGTTTTCTGTTATTCAATACTGCTACATGTCAGGCCAGCTAAGACGATTTAACAACTTAACATCTAATTTTCCATAAACAAACGCAAGGAAATGGCATAAAAACAAGCACATGAAATTATTATATTCTATAAACCAGAAAAGAACAATGCTGTTTTGTCTTTCTAGAGGTTGTTACTGAATTATTGTCTTGCATAATATAATTTCATGTCATTCTTAAAAGCAAACCTAAAACCAATGTAAGAATTTCATAAACACCATAAGAAAATAGATAGATTTTGATGAATAAGCAGTTTACAGTAAGCCCACAGCAGTACTATATTTTAAAGAAAGAATGAGCAGTCAGAAAATGTATAAAATGCAGTAAGAAAGCTGCTAGGTTGAAAGCATACATTTTAATATTTTAGTTCGCGAGGGGAGCGGCAGCCAAAAGACCATTCTAACCACCTGACAAACAGCAACAAACAACAGCTCTCGAGTCAAAATATTTATTAGGGTGTCATGTCAATGTACAGGCTAGCATATGTGCCAAGGAGAAATTATTCTATTATCTTCAGCTGAGTGAACCAGAAACAATGAACGTACAGATTTGTAAATATACATGGAACTGAGAATGTTCTTTCAAATCATACATCCATTTAATTTTCATTGATCATTTTAAAAATATATCAAAAAGTGTGAAGTATAAGTTACATTAATTCCTCTGACAATTTTTATCCAAATGTTACTGTTGCCCTGTCACTTTGCACTTTCAATCCATGATAAAGTTTCTTAGTAAAAAATATATACTTTAGCATTTGTTTCAGGATTCAAGTGGCATTTTAGCTACACTGAATGACATTAATTTAAGCAATCTATCTTCTATCAATAAACTTTCAAAAAACATATCTTTTAGGGGCATTCATATTGGTAGACTTGTTTTGTTCTCTTCAAAATTAGTTTGAAGTATAATTTATTATTGACATGGCACATAAAACTTTCAGCAAAATTGCAGATGAAGGTTGTCTCTGGAAAAGTAGGGAAAAGAGAGCACAACAGATGACGACTGTGTGCAACAAAAGAATCTCTTAGGATGAATAATGTTTTAATACTGAAACAAACTACAAGCACTCGTATAATTTCCAAATCCAAAAAATATAAAAATATATATAGTATTGCACATTATTTTAATTATTTTCTGCAAAACATACATCAGGAGGAATATATGCCAAATTCACCACATAGTTTTTAATTGCCAGTGTTGAAATTTTTTTTAAAGAGAAGAGGGAGGGGAAAAGAGCTCTTCCCCTCCCCTACAAACTGCTTTGATTTTAAGCAAATCTAAGTGTGCAGGTACAGTTTGCTCATCCCATAGTCTATAAAGCTTTAAAAACCTACATCTGAAATTAAGATTTGTAATATTTTGGGAGCAACAAAAAATACAGCAACTCAGGAGACAACACTGGGAATGTAGGAAATCACAGACTTTGATTCTATACGACAAGCTGGATAGGAGTCAAAGCTGCCACATGTGGTGTGAAAAAATGCCACCCCGGTGTGAACAAAGGGTTTAAAATGGAGTCAAGAAGCGTGCAAGCTCAATGTCTAAGCTTTTCCTGTGAATTGTACTGCCACAACCTGCAGGATATCAAGTGGGCTGGGAAGAATAGAGTGCCTTTGGAAGCTACAATGGGGTAGCGGTGGCCGTCGGTGCGTTGGGGTTTCTATTGTTTTGCTCTTCTTGTTTGTGTGGCGCCACAATGCGCTGCTCTACTTCAGCGAGAAATTAAACTCTCAGCACCAAAAATAAAGTCACAAAATTCACCGAGAAACTGATGAATGCAGTAAGTTGGATCTTGCTTATTGTAGTCCTGGTTTACAGCTCAATGAGAGAATTTACCAGCTGGATTGTGCATTTTACTGGGGCCCGAACCGCAATGTCACACATGCAAAAAAGAAAAAAAAAACCAAAAACAAACCAAAGAGTAATAGATGCTGCTCATAAATATCTCTATGGCTTTTTACTGAGATAATCATTGCAATAATATAAACATTTGTTAGGTTTATTCAACTAGAAAGAATGTTACGCCTTATTTCCATCAACAGCTTTCCTCCTTTTATTACAACATAAAGCTGTTGATCTGCATATTCAGTTCAGAAAGAGCTATCTTTTAGAAATAATCTATTATAGTGCATGTAGTAGCAAGCTAAAAATGTATGGGTCACACTCACAAAACTGTTATGCTAACACTGCTCAACAGAGAAGGTACTAAAAATCATAAATATTCTACCTAAATAAAGGAAAATACCATGTAGCTCCAGCAAAAGGAATAATAAGAAAAGAAACAGTCAAATATATTTTCCAAAAGTACGTGAACTGCAAAAAGTACAGTTTCCTTGATGAGAAAATAGATTACAGTTACTAAATTCCTGAATAAAAAGAATTAAAATCC